GCTGAGGCAGCATTTATATGAGCGTAGTTATTCAGGAAAGTGGTCAATGACAGAGAGGAAGACCTGCAGCTAAGGTCATCAGGTCGGGCATCGAACCTGCGAGGGCTGTGTCGGAGACTGGGTCCTCCTTATGTGGATTGTGCTCTAATATGGTATTGAACTTAATTCTTTCAAGTAAAGTCAAAGTGAAAAGTTCCTTTAGGTTAAAGATTTGCAAGTTTTGAGTTAATTGAACACACAAAAATAAGTTGTCGTAGCAAAAGCAAAAGAATTAAGTGAAATTAATGTAAATAAGTCCATAAGAAGAACTGCAGCCCAAATACACTTTTTAGAGTGAAGTATAACCACTTCTGAAGAACCTGCTGGTCTCCTGAGCAGACAGGTGTCACAAAACAATTCTAAGTACAAAATACTTTAGCAAGGATGATAGAGAAACTCTTTAAAACAATTTGATGACCAATAAGAAAAAAGTATTTCAAATTATCTATTTTCACCTGATCTATGGAAATAGATCAGGGGAGACTGAAGTTCCAACTGTCAGGATAATTATAAAACAAACAAGATTCTCAGACTCTACAAGCCTCAATTATCATTTTAATTGTTACACTACTTCACTGTACAATTGTTACAGTACAGTTTAGAAAAAAAAACCCTGATGAAAGTGTGGTTTGTAAGAAGAGTTGCCAAAGAATGGATCTTCTTAAAAAAAAAAAAAAAACAGATATGATTACATCTCAGATAACCAAGCGATTCAACACATATGAGAGCTGTGCCTTTTTGGAGAAATCTAAACACGGTATAGAAGTAATGTCTCAAAGCAGCTGCCAAACACAGAGGTGGAGGTGTAGTGATTTAGGGTTGGTTCTACAGCCTCTGGCTTGTGACGCCTTGCAGTTCACTGTCATCTGGGGTGTATGCGCACATACTCTGTAGCAGAATGTGAGATCAACTGCGTGACAAATGGTCTCACATGGAACTGGGTCATAAACAGGACAATGATTCCAAACAGCAGCAAATCTGCAACAGAATGGCTGAAAAACCTGATTGAAATGTTGTGTTGGGGCCTTAAGAAATCAGTACAGAAATGGAGACCTGCTCAGCTCAACAGATTAAAACAGCATTGTTCAGAAAAGTGGGCCAAGATTCCTCTAATGACAACACATTAAAGGAATATATACAGAATATATATATTCTCTGTAGGACTGATAAACCTAAATGGAAAAAAAAAAACACTAAGAGCTACTGAAGTTTGTACAAGTTGTTTTATCATGGGGTGTTTTTTCTCTATGACTGCAGCGAGTACATAGTTTTTTTCTCCATTACTGTACATAAAGACTTAATTTGAGAATGACATAATTTGGGGTTAGCACCATCTTTCTCTGTAAACTGATGATTCAGAACACCATTCTTTAACTGTGGTTAGTGAAGTCACAGACCATTACTTTCAAACCAGCTGATATTATATTGGAATACTAAAAAGATATGATACTCAAATTCTGCAGTTATTTTGTTTCAATTAAAGTGATTTCTTTCAAAACCTCAAAACAGAAACTAACAACAAACAGATATGTCCATTCACACTAAAAAGGAGACAAAGAATAATCTGGTTCTACTGAACAAATACAGATTATAGACTGATTAAATCTGTCTGTGTTTAATCTGTGCCAAAGCTTAATTTTTCCATTCCATGGATTCAGATGTGTCCAGATCTAAAGCTTTATTATAATACCCCACAAGTCATTGTCTTTACACATTGTTTTTTTTTATTGTTGGTTCTGTAGTAATGAAAATGTGTGTTAGCTTGACCTAATTGTGAGGAATTGAAAGAGATTTTTTTTGGAACATCAAACTTCACATCTTTGATGTGTGCTGGTGTGCTGGTTCTGAATAGGGCCTGTGTGTTGGGATCAAGGTTGTGAAATTTCAAAAGGTTATGTTGCAGCAGGACAGGGTAGGGTTGTTTTTTTTTTGACATCAAAGTTCCAGTTTATTGATTTGTTATCATATCTAAGTATCAACCTGAACTCAGCTTTTTTAAAATGTGGCTTCTCACAGTTTGTGATTCAACAAGTTTTTTTCAGTAGTAACAGGTTGAATATGATAGCTTCCTCTCTTTAATAAATTAAGCAATTAGAAAATTATTTATTTTTTATTTGCTCAGATAATTTTGGTCCTAACCCAATGTTTGCTTGATGATCTTCTGCATTCCAGTGGGACAAAAGACAAATCAGATGAAAGCTGTAAAGGAGCAAATATATTTTCAAGGCCCTTTTAAAATAGCTCAACATGTAGTTGTCATCTAATCCCAGCTCTCCCCTTTCTTCTTCATGTTTTCATACAGAGGGTGACTCCATTGTTTACACCACCAACTCTCTCCAGAGACGCCGGAAAGGACTGGGCTTAACAGGCCTGCGCCCAGCTGCCTCCAGCTCCATCCACTCAAAGAACAAATCGGGCCTCATGATTGGCCCACCACAGGACTTCAGACAGATCTCATCCATTATTGACGTGGACATTTTACCTGAGTCATATAGGCGAGTTCGACTGCACAAGTACGGCTCCAAAAAGCCTCTGGGATTCTACATCCGGGATGGGGTGAGCGTGCGGGTGACACCGCAGGGTGTAGAGAAGGTGAGGTTCAATTTTCTTTGAGCATAATGACTGAGCATCCTGTTGAAATTAGTCCAGTTCAGGAGTAATGGTTGTACTTTGTGTTTGTTCTGGTTTTTACTGCCTAAATACTATCAGCAAGGATG